ATCAAAAAAAAAAAAAAACTTGATTATATACCCATTGAAATTCACACTAAATAGAAAGAGATAGTACTGCGGGGTTGCGGAAGAGTTCCACTGAAATCAGAGGAAGAAGCTCGAACCCAGTAATGCATTTTTACGTCTCTGCCGATGCGTTTTTTCTCTCCTCCAACTTTTTACTTCTATTAGTTTCCTCTTTGGTACTTGCAAGTATGCTGAATTTTGACTTCTCTTTCTTTCTTTTTGTTTTTTTTTTTTTTTATCTGGTTATTTCTTACCCCTTTAATTTCATTTGGTTACTTTCCTGTTTTATTTACAGATTGAGAATTGGTATATCCCTTTTTTCATAAGCTCTGAGAAGCTCACATGCATTTTCCAAAAAATTGAACTAAATATTCAGTATAAGATAAAACCAAAAACATTTTTGGCTTGATAATTCTTTGATTACGCAAATTCTTTTTATTTAACATAAAAAAATATTATTATAAATTAAATTTAACATATTATTTAAAACAAAGTCGATTAACTGATTACGTTGAACTTAAATTTTATAATAATCAATTCTCAAATAATTGATGAACTAAAATTTGGAGGAACAATCCGTGTATTTACAGCCTATTGAAACCAAGATATACATATACCAAACACAAAATGAAATCATACATAAGCACACACTGCTCAAAGTGATACCAAAGTAAACAAGATCATGTTTTAACTCTCTTTACAAATACTTTTTCCTTACCAAAAAGAAAAAAGAAAAAAAAAAAACTCCTTTACCACATGCATAAATTTATTTTTTCACCAAAAGAAAGTATATAATTTGTAATAAAATATAATTGTTAAAAAATAAGGATTAAACATAATTTTAAAAAATTTATATAATAATTTATTACACATAAATATTTTATTTTTAAATAATTATTTTAATATATAATAAAAAATAATTTACAATCATATATTATATGAAAAGAAACACGTTATTATTAAATTGTCAACACTGACTTTAGTTCATCGACCACACGATCTATGAGTTCTTCATTTATCTTGTTTATGAGATCACTCATATCTTTTACTTTCTTTCTAACATTTTCACTCATCTTTTCTAATACCACTTGTTTGATCACTTTAGCAATCTCGTCTCTGTCAAGTCCATCGTTAAGCTTGTTTCTCTTCACCTCTAAACCAACACCAACCTCTTCCACAACCTTTGCATTTATTGGTTGATCAAGATGCATAGGCATAGCTATGATTGGAACTCTATACTTTAAACCTTCCATGACTGAACTCCATCCACAATGACTAACAAATCCTCCAATGCTTTCATGTCTTAAGATTTTTCTTTGCGGTGCCCATCCTTCAACAATTATACCTTTATCTTTTGTCCTTTGGAGAAATCCTTTTGGTAGTTCTTTTTCTAGCTCAATTTTCTCTCCTAGAGGAAACCTAATTACCCAAATGAAATTCACTTGGCTTAGTTCTAATCCATGGGCTATCTCTTCCCTCTCTTCTTTTGATAAAAAATATTCACTGCCAAAGCACATAAATACAGTGGAAGATCTTTCTTTATTATTCAGCCACTCAATGATTTTTGTTCCGTCTTCATCATATTCATCATCTTTAATGGAGATGTCATCATCATCATCATCATCGTGAACGAGTGGACCAGTTGGAACTATTCTTTTGTCCAATAGAAGAGAAAGGTAATCTAAATACTTTCCCTCTAGTTCTCTAAAAGTCTTCACAAAAATTAGACCAAAAGAAGATTGCTCGAAACTTTGTGTAAACCTGTTCATATCGCTCATATCATTATTATGATTTGAAGTACTGGTAATATAGATATCTCGAACAAATTTCTCCAATGCTTTAAATTTCAAGCAATCTTGAAGATTCGTGATTGGAGGAGGCCATTCAGTATCATATGGTTTCTTAACAAGATGAAAGAAAAAACAAGTCGTGGCTGCAGAGCTAGTCGTGAAATGAACAGCTGGAATATTGAGGGATGAAGCTAGTGTTGCCGCCCATGGTTGAATGAAGTCATAGAGAAGAAGATTTGGAGTTAAGTTTTTGAGTAATGTAAGGAAGTAAGGGGCAGCCATGTCAAGAGCTTTCTTGAGGGTGGACATGAGATGGGGAGGGAGGCCATTAGTGGTGTGATAGTGGGGAGGAAGGTCGAGGAATTCTGAGGAAAGTTGAAGCTCCACAAGGCATATGGATCTTAAATGTTTAGGAGAGAGTTTTGGTTTGATAAAATTTAAGTTTATAGGAGTGGAGCAAAAGTATATAACAAAGTTTCTCTCGGCAAGCTTTTTAGCTAACTCCAAGAATGGAGTTATATGGCCATGAGCTAACCATGGAAACATTAAAATGCTAAAGCTGGTTTTTTTATTGTCACCCATAGTTCTCTCTGCCTTCGGGTTATGATCACCATTGTTTTAGTCTCTTATATATATACATGCACGTGTATGTGTTCCACGTACATACTGAGGTTTGATAAAATTAATTATTACCAAATTCATACGTATTGTTTATTATTTAATTTAACTATTAAGAAAGTTTAGTTAAGATGATCTATCCACACATATATATATATATATATATAATATTTTAACTACATATAACACAAATACATAGATGATTAATAATTACTATATATATAATTAAGAAATATTGTTGCATCAAATATATATTGTTATTGCAGAAAAGTTCAAGAAATTCAGATTATGTACGTCAGCTTTTATAATTTTTAGTCTTCAAATCGAAAAAGAAAAGAATTAATATTTACGTGTTGATAAGATTTTATAAGACTTCAATTTTTATCCTCATTATAATTGGTTTATTCTGAATTTGTATTTGATTAAAAAATTAATTATAATAAATTTAAAATACTACAAAGTTATTTTTTCTGTTTATTATTAATTATTTGAAAATAAATTACAACAGTTCAGAAGAAAAAATTAATTTATTTGTGTAATTTCTTGCTCGAAACTTAATCCAAATATATTTGATAAAAATATTTTTTATAAATTTAAATAATTAATCTAATTTACAAACATAGTTTTGATAAAATAAAAAAATAAAAAATAATATCTTAAAATCAATCCAAAATATTATTATATATATATAGTACGTGTGGGATCAGGCACGTACGTGGAGGCCGCACATGAAGGTTGGTGTTATTTCTTACGTGATGCTTTGAACAGATGAAGATCACGAGGATTAATTTAGATCATGTTTCAAGAAGGATCCAAGTTTTAGTCATGTACATGATGTACCCTTATCCATGGAAAGAAAATATCTATTTAACATATATATATATATATATGTGTGTATATATATATATATGTGAGTAAAGGGTTATATTTTTTATTTTATTAATTATTTAAATTTTTTAAAACCTCATCTAATTAAAAAATTTGGTAATTTTATTACTATATTGCACTAATCTAAATAAATACATAATATATCACATTATTAATTAAATTAGTGACATACATTTAAAGATTCGGAACCTAAAAGGTAATAAAGTCATAAATTAAATGCGGAAGCGAAATAATAAAGTTTAGAGTTTACATTTTTTACACAATAATTTAAAATGTTCAATAGGGTTACGAAACTGTCTTTTCTAAAATAGTAAATAAAAATTAAAGAAATAAATAAAAGACAAATAACTGAACATTTTATAACGACATTCACTAGCTTCTGAAGGGATTCTATATGGTGAACTTATTCACAACCCTTTTATTGATCGGGATCTGGGTCCTGATTCTCTTGATTTGAAATAATTAATAAAATAGTAAGTTACAATATCTCAATAAGAATATTACACTACTCACTAATACAAAAGTTGAAGGTTGATAAAAATCATAAAAACGACCAATAGAACTCTTGATTTAAGTAAATTCATTTATAATAAGAAAAATCATTTATTGCATATATTTACCGTTGCGAGATTTTCAAAATCGACTTATAGAGACAATAACGCAAATAATATATCAATCTCATTTTCAAGTGAGTTATAACAATAACTTCTCATTTTTATTTGCCTACTGGTATCATTGGGGGCCTATAAAGATATCCTACTACGCGTGAACCAATATCCAACATTGTCAACTAACCGGCCGTCCCTATACCCCATCTGATATGAGCGTAAAAAATATCATCCCTTAATACCCCATCCGATATTATGGTGAATCGACCCGTCCCCATACCACGTCCAGTATAAGCGCTAAAAATATTATTTTTCGATA